ATTTTAGATACCCCCAGAAGCATTAAAGCATCCACTGCTACAGCTGAGAAGCTTTTTCAGAAGCTGAGAAATAAACACGAGTTTACTATTTTGGTGACACTGAAGCAGGTCCACTTAAATTCAGGAGTTATTCTCTCTATCCATCACTTGGATCACAGGTAAGTGGCAATTGTAGAGATCCTCTTGTTTTCTTTACATGGTTAAATTTATGAAAGAGAAGTAAACAAAACCTGACATAATGTATACATGGTGGATTTTACCATACAGTGAGTTCTATATGTTACACAAAACCATAGAAGTAATTGAGTTCTGCCTAAAAGCAGGGTAAACCAGTAGATCTGTAAATCTGAAAAGCACAAAGCCACCATTTCTAAGACACATTTATCAACTTTTAAGTTCCTTGAAGGGGGTGTGGTCCCCAGTGTTAAAGACAAACATACTTTGTAATTTCTGATCACAATCCACAAAACTCTTTTTTTTTCCCCTTTGGAGAATTGACTATATTTAGAATTTAGTAGTCATATAATTTTAATCACAGCTAAACAACTTCTCTCTTACACACTGCAGCAGCTCTAGGAACATTCATGAATGTGAGTTGTATAAAAATTCTGCCCAGCATCTGCCAACTTCTCTCACGTGCAGAAGTATCAGTAGGAGAGCTGGAGGGGAGGGAGGAGAAATTCACCCATGATGCTTGGCCTATATCTACAATAGATCTACAACTAAATATGGACATATTTACATAGATAATGCCACATAGCTCAGAATGATCATCTCTGAAAAGACATCATTCTGACAATGAAGGTTTATGTGTGTTCCTACTTAAACTCTGGACTCTATTATCATATACTATCTGTGGATCTGTGGTAAGTCACAAACCCTCTGTGTGTTCACCTCCTCACCTTAAAGTGGGATAGCCCCTTCATAGGTTGTTGTGAAAATTTTTATTTATTTATAAATTATCATTTATTCATTGTTTATTTATAAACATTCTCCCAGGGATATTGAAATATCCAATTAACTGACTTCACAATGGCTCAGACCCCTTCCCACATGGCCCCCTGGAACTATACCAGTACCAAGGGCTTTGTGTCATCTGTAAGACAAGAATGAGTATGTGGACCTGTGATTATGAAGATTTTTTTCTGTAGATTTCTTTCACTAATATTTTCAAGGGCTTTGTATGGACTTATTTAGTTTTTATAAATCTAAAGTCCTTTAGATATATAATAGTTTTAATGATCTTATTCATATATAGGCAGAAAATTTTTTATTTGGTTTCTCTTATTAGACACGAGGTAGCCTGGAACATTTTAAATCTTTGCTCAATACTAAAAGGCAAACTTGAGCAAATCCATGAAACCAAAATACAGCAAGATCTAGAGAGGAAGGTTCTTGGGTACCCTTGTTCTTAGAGCTTGGGGTCTCCTGTGCTCCATCTTTAGCACCAAAGGATAACTTCTCTTGGCTTACTGTTTTCCGGGGTCTGACCTGTGCCGAAGGGGAAGGTGTCCTGCAAACAGTCAGCTGCTAACTGCTTAGGACACTCAGGGCAGAGTGCAAATAAGGAGGGGGCATCACCATACATTTACTAGAGCTTTCCCATGTTTACGCCACGGGCCTCTCTTTAGGTGACTGTGGTCAGGCCCCTCTGTACTATGTCACCAGGCCTCTGCCATGTCAGCTGGGCTTTTGGGCAACATAAGTCACATAAAATAAAGGAAGATTATTTCTTTGGAAGAGCAGCCTGCACAATTGCCGATTACCTATCTGTCCGCGCTCGGAATATTTTCCCTTTGTGTCACACACTAGATTTTTCTCTGTAATTTCCTCTCGCTGCTCTGTCTATAGAGACATGGAACTCAGCCAGCCGTCCAGATGACATGACTTACACATATGATAGCACTGCCCCCTTCCCTCCTCACCCCTTCGGCCCCTGTGCTAACCAGTTCTGGTCACTCCATCTGCTCACCTCCTGGCTCTCACATGCACCAGCTCCGAACCGCTGATGTTTTTGTTGGTCCTCATATTAATTCTTAATTTGTTTTGTTTATTCATCTTATTTGTACCATCCACAAACTTGAAAACTTAGGTAAAAGTCACCACATTTGAAATACAGTGTATCTTGACATTACATAAAATAATTTAGTTTTATAAAGTATTTTAATAACTCCGTGATGACTCTGAAAGGATTAGTGTATTCCAGCCTCTGTGCTGAGCTGGCTCATTTGTCACCACTGTTCCGCAGTGGTTAAGCATTTAGCCTGGGAGACAGATGTCTTATCCCACAGCTCTGCTGCTTCCTGACTTTGTGACTCACACACTCTTCTGCCCTGAGATTCCTTATGTGTAAATCCATACAAAGCCTTTGAAAATATTAGTGAAGAAAATCTACAAAAGCTCCAGAATCACAGGTCAACACTCTCATTCTTGTTACAGATGATACAAGCCTCAGAGGTCCTATTCAAGTTCCAAAGGGGCATGTGGGAAGGGTCTGTGCCATTGTGACTGTGCACCAGATTCTAGGCTATCTCAGTGTCCCTAGGAGTGTGTTAAGTCTCTCTTCTGCCCAATGTTTTCCTCCTACAGTATCATCTGAACCAGTCAGAACCTAAACTCACTTCATCTGGTTCATGAGTCTAAGGATTTTCCTAACACTCAGTGGTATGCTGGTAAAACCCCTGACTTTGCAGATTATTCTTTTCCTGTCACTGTTGAAATTATCTTTCTTCCTTTACAGGTGTGTGTGTGTGTGTGTGTGTGTGTGTGTGTGTGTGTGTGTGTGTGTGTGTGTGTGTGTGTGTGTGTGTGTGTGTGTGTACCCATGCATACCCAGGGATGCCAGAGGAGGATGTCAGGTGTCCTGCTTATTCTCTTGAGACAGTGTCTTTCACTGAACCCAAAGCTCACTGCTCACCATTTTTTTGGCAAGGTTTTCTGGCCAGCAAGCCCCAGTGATTCTCCTGTTTCTGATTCCTAGTGTTGAGCTACAGGACCAGGCCTAGCCATGCCTGGCCTTTTCCATGGGTGCTGGGGATCCAAACTCAGGTTCTCATATGTTCACATGCTCTTACCTACTGAGCCTTCTCTCCAAACCCTATCTTTTTATTGTTTATATATTTAGTCTCATCATTTTTTCTTGGACATTTATTCAGTTATTCTTTATTTTTGTGAAAGTAGGGATGTTTGAGGTTACATCTCTGGACAAGATAAAAGAAAATGAAACATGCAAATAGGGCAGAGACACAAAGCAGCTCAGGTAGCTGACCAGAGATTGCAGCTCTTCTCAATGCTGAAATCAAGAGACATTATTTCTATTGGATTTTCGTAGGAAAATCCAGTAAATGGCCTTAGCAGACAAGTTCAGAGGGCTTTACATCACCTGGTGGCATCGTGCCAAGATGAGCTTCAGCAAAGTGAATCCACAGTACTGCGAACCGAATGCATCTGGGGCAAAGGTCTTTGAGACAGTTCTGGGCCCTTTGGGGGCTTGTAGCTCAGTGATGTAGGGGACAGGGGTGTAGAACCGGGTTTTCCTGCTCCCTATCCGGACAGCTTCTGCTACATGCCACACTGGTATTTCATAACTTGCTTCTCTCACTTCTCACTGGCAATGTCTGGTGCAAGTCTAATGCACCTTTCTGGTTTAAAGTAGTAAGGGCTCTTTTTCATGTCGTCTCGCGAGAGGCTTACAGTCCTGGTTCTCAGGGGCTGGATGAGTTGAGATTCTTACGTACCTATTAGAAAGCTAAGGAGCAAGAATTTGTGCGTTTAGGCTCTGTGGCTTAGGCTTTAGGAAAACAAACGCTGAGCAAGCAATATTATTATTAGCGATGCTGTGAGGCTGCCTCGCTACGTACGCCAGCTTCTGACTGTGTGGCCTTATCTCCATCTGGGCTAACTGCAGTGAGCCTTGGCTATCACACAGCTTGCTCTGCATGAGGAAGAAGGGGGAAGGGGGGAAGTGGCCGTGGCTGTGGAGATGCTGGCTCAGCACTGCGAGAGGAAGGGAGAAGAATGCTGTTGAGGAGACAGATCCGACAGTGGCCAGCCTGCTCCCAGCTGTGTGTACCCGCCTCCTTTCTCTGTCCGTCCATGTCTGCTCACACTGTAAGCTCTACTTAGGTCTCTACGAAGCTGTTGCTGTCTCTCTAGTTTACATTAATTTCTTCTTCCATTAGCTTCCAGTCCGTGCGTAAATTTGTCTCCCACCTAAATTTGTGCTTTAGATGATTGTCTGAGTGCTTCATCTACACAGACTCACATTCCTTCCATATGAAAAAAAAAAATCATTTATTTCTTTTGATTATAATAAATACTTGCTGAGGCATTTTAAAATGGAAATTTAGGGGCTGGAGAGATGGCTCAGCAGTTAAGAGTACTGGCTGCTCTTGCAGAAGACCCAGGTTTAATTCTCAGCAACCACATGGCAACTAACAACCATCCATAAATCTAGTTTCAGGGTATCCGACACGCTCTTCTGACCTGTATGGGCATTGCATGACACAGGTGCACTAACACGCATGCAGGCAATACACTCATACCCATAAAATAAAATATAGAAAAAATTTAAACTTAAATTGTGTTTTTGAAAGAGTAGTACATTCCATGGTTGAAAACATAAAAGATGTAACAAGATAAATAGAAAATAAGCATCTCCTGTTCCTGCCGCAAAGTCTGTCTTTAAGGGAAACTTTTTTGTTCGTTATTTTTTTTTTACTTTTTATTTATTTATTTATTTATTTATTTATTTATTTATTTATTTATTCATTCATTCAGTATGTGTGGGTATGCACATGCCATCCGTGTCTGTGGAGGTTAGAGAAAAGCTTGCTGGAATCTGTTCTCTCCTCCCACTGTGTGAGTTGTGGAGATCAAACTCAGTTCATCAGACTTGGCAGCAAGTACCTTTACCCACTGAGCCGTCTCATCGGCCCAGCAAAGACATTCTGAAAATAAAAGCATAATGAAAAGACAGAGCTCTTCCGGTCAGGAGTGACTGGAACTGGCTCTCACTGGCTTATGAGAGTTGAAACTTTGTGAGCTGGTTGATATCAATTTGGTAGATTTAAAACAGACTATGATGCCAGGTGTGGTGGTACACGCCCTTAATCCCAGCACTCCAGAGGCAGAAGCAAGCAGATCTCACCAAAACTGA